ACAAACAGTGATGATAATGAGCTGACTAAACCGTGGCAGTCTAATAGAGACGTACAGGACGACCACGGCAGATGGATTCATGCAACACTACAAGAGCAGCGGTAAAATCCCCTCTGAGCACTGAGGTCAATCCCTGTGTCCATTCAGCAGAAATACGTATCCAAGTTTTTCCTCTTCAAAATAAATACATAGCAACAGAAGTGATAGTAATCCCAGAGCCCTATAGAGGTAACAGCAGGAGGCATTGGAGGTTCATTGTGTCACATGCTGGTTTATATTCAATGCATTTTTCCTTGTTATAAAATACTGCAAATATTTTTGAACTTCTGTGTTTCTGTATCAGTAAGGGCTGGGTAGAAATGACGTGAGTAACTATAATTAATAAATAACATTATTCAGGTGATATGCAAATTGTTGTTCCTCATTTTCCGTTATGTTCCTGCATTTTGTTATTACTATTGTTAGCTTTTTAGAATAATCAATTTATTTGTTTTGTTTGTGTGGATGGATGTGGTTTTGCTGCTACTGGACACCTGCATTTTTTCTACAGGGAGCAATAAAATATCTATCTATCTATATATATATATATATATATATATATATATATATATATATATATATATATATATATATATATATATATATATATATAGTGGACAGTATCTCCGCCTGTCACGCGGAAGACCGGGGTTCGATTCCCCGACGGGGAGCCAAGCAGTTGGTAGGGCACAGGACTGGGACCTGGGAGGCCAGGGTTCGAATCCCACCGGGAGCACATTAACACCAACATCCAGTGAGGGTCCTTGGGCAAGACCCTTAATGCTACTGCCTAACTCATAACCATGAAGGTACAAATAAGCAATGAGATGCCGGATCAGCCGTCGCCCGGCCAAACAAGGTCTGCGTCAGGTGCTGGGGAACCAGAGCACCTTGATGAAAAGTGGGCTACTGGAACAAGGCGAAAGTGGACGAGATGCGATAACAGGGCTCTGTTGGAATGCTACTACTCGAGTAACCCTGGCCAAAGAGGTTACATGCAGAGAATGTGGTCTGAATGGTTACTTCGAAACCCACAGTCACAGTTGACCCCGAAACAACTGGTAGCTCAATGCTCCAACATCCACAAACGGCAACTGCTATCACAGCTTGAGATTGATGAAGTACAACACATATATGATGCCACAGTTGCCGAGGTCAGTGGGGAGATCCCACCAACTGCAACTCCCCAACCAGATATTGGGTACATAGCCCCAATGGAACCGATAACGCTGAACGAGGCAGCGACTGACCTGAAAGCTAAGATCATGGCTAGAATGGGCACAGGGCAAAGACACCGGTTACAGCGGTTGTGTGAAGTACCACCTAAGGATCTCATAGAAAGCGTGAATGCAGCAGTGAGGGCAATACCTACCACCACAATCACTGAAACCAATGAGCTGATATACACTTCAGCAGCAGTGATCCTAGAGATGCTTGGCTATAAGAGCAACCATGGGAGCCATGGACAATACCCACCATGGAAAAGACGGTTGGAGGCTAAGATCAAGGCGGCTCGGAGAGAAGTGAGTCAATTAACAGAGGCCCAGAGAGGTGCAATGAAAAGACCAGTACCCAGAAAGTACAGCCAGATGACCATACCTGAAGCACTCGAAACTGCCAAACAAAGGCTCCAAGCCCTGGCCAGCCGCCTACAGAGGTACACTAAAGAGAATGAAGCCAGAAGGGTGAACAGGCTGTTCGCAACACAACCTGCGAAGGTGTACGCTCAGTGGCAGGGTAACAACAGGGGAGCAGATCCACCGAGGCTGGAAACTGAACAGTTCTGGAGGAACATATGGGAGAAGGATGCAGCACATAACAGAAGTGCACAATGGCTGGTGTCCCTGAGAGAGGAGCACAGCCACCTCCCAGAACAGAACTCAGTTACCATCACAGAGGCAGACATCCGAGAAAGAGTCTCAGGTATGAAAAACTGGACAGCACCTGGCCCTGATATGGTCCATGCCTACTGGCTAAGGACACTCACATCACTCCATGAGCGCCTAGCAGCACAAATGAACCAGCTGCTGAGAGATGGGACTCACCCAGAATGGCTAACCGAAGGGCGAACGGTCCTGATCATGAAGGACCCTGTCAAGGGTGCAGTCCCCTCCAACTACCGGCCAATAACCTGTCTCTCCACAACATGGAAGCTCATGTCAGGCATCATTGCGGCTAAGATAAGTGGGCATATGGAACAATTCATGAGCACAGCACAGAAGGGCATTGGTAGGGACACCAGAGGAGCCAAACACCAGCTCCTGGTTGACAGAACAGTCGCCCAAGACTGCCGGTCACGACACACCAACCTGTGCACAGCCTGGATTGATTACCAGAAAGCCTACGACTCAATGCCACACACATGGATCATGGAATGCTTGAAGTTGTACAATATCAACAGGGCTCTAAGGGACTTCGTTGCAAACTCGATGGGAATGTGGAAGACTACCCTTGAGGCAAATGGCAAGCCGCTCGCACAAGTGACCATCAAATGTGGTATCTACCAAGGAGATGCTCTGTCCCCACTACTGTTCTGCATAGGCCTCAACCCTCTAAGCCAAGTAATTGACCAGACTGGCTATGGATACCGCCTCAGGAACGGAGCAAAGATCAGTCACCTCCTCTACATGGATGACATCAAGCTGTACGCCAAGAGCGAGAGAGACATCGACTCTCTGATCCAAACAACCAGGATCTACAGCCATGACATCGGGATGTCATTCGGGCTCGAGAAATGTAGCAGGATGGTGACTCGGAGAGGCAAGGTAGTCCACACAGAAGGGATCTCACTCCCAGAGGGAACAATAGCAGACGTTGAGGACAGTTACAAGTATCTCGGTATACCACAGGCAAATGGCAACCTCGAACAGGCGAGGAAAGCGGCAACTGCCAAATACCTCCAGCGAGTAAGGCAGGTCCTAAGAAGCCGGCTCAATGGCAAGAACAAGGCCCGGGCAATTAACAGCTACGCCCTGCCAGTGATCAGATACCCTGCAGGAATAATCAGGTGGCCAAAGGAAGAGATTCAGACCACGGATGTTAAAACTCGAAAGCTCCTTACCATGCATGGCGGGTTCCATCCCAAATCCAGCACCCTGAGACTGTACGTAAGCCGTAAAGAAGGAGGCCGAGGACTAGTGAGTGTGAGAGCCACTGTCCAGGACGAAACATCCAAACTCCATAACTACATCATGGAGAAGGCCAAAACGGATGACGTACTCAGTGAATGTCTCAGGCAGTGGCGAGATGAGGAGGTGCTGGAGGAGAGCCCATCATGGGAGAACAAGCCCCTACACGGCATGTACCACCGGAGCATAACAGAAGTGGCTGATCTCAAGAAGTCCTACCAATGGCTAGAAAGGGCTGGCCTACAGGACAGCACAGAGGCACTCATCATGGCTGCACAGGAACAGGCACTGAGCACCAGAGCGATAGAGGCCCAGATATACCACACCAGACAAGACCCAAGGTGTCGGTTGTGCAAAGAGGCACCTGAGACGATCCAACACATAACTGCAGGGTGCAAGATGCTGGCAGGGAAGGCCTACATGGAACGCCATAACCAAGTGGCTGGCATAGTGTACAGAAACATCTGTGGAGAGTATGGGCTGGAAACCCCAAGGTCTAAGTGGGAAACTCCTCCAAAGGTGGTGGAAAATGAGCGTGCGAAGATCCTGTGGGACTTCCAGATACAGACCGACCGAATGGTAATGGCAAACCAACCTGACATCGTGGTGGTAGACAAAGGGCAGAGGACAGCCGTGGTGGTGGACGTGGCAATTTCAAGCGATGGTAACATCCGGAAAAAAGAACATGAAAAGCTTGAGAAATACCAAGGTCTCAGAGAGGAGCTGGAGAGGGCCTGGAGGGTAAAGGTGACAGTAGTGCCCGTGGTGATCGGTGCACTCGGGGCAGTGACCCCGAAGCTAGATGAGTGGTTACAGCGGATCCCCGGAACAACCTCGGACATCTCGGTCCAGAAATGTGCAGTGCTAGGAACAGCAAAGATACTGCGCAGAACCCTCAAGCTCCCAGGCCTCTGGTAGAGGACCCGAGCTTAGAGAGAAATAACCGCCCGCGGAGGGCCAAAGGTGAGTGGACAATTTATTTTATTTTTTTATATATATATATATATATATATATATATATATATATATATATATATATATATATATCTATCTATCTATCTATCTAAATGCCTTTAAGGGAGGCTAAATAATCTTGGAATAATCTGTGTATACAAAATATGTTTTTGTATAATAGGCCACCTGAATCAATTCATTTGCTAGTAATGTGTTAAAATATGTTGTATCAAACTAGGTCCTTGCTCTCAAAACAGTTTGGTTCTATCACGAGTTTTCACATTTTGGCTTCTGTCACATCTTTTTCAGAGAGAAAAGTGAAAAAGACAGAAGCACTCTCACTCAGCCAATCAGCTCTCAACCCAAAGCCTCCAATAGTGACTGATTTCTAAGATTACATGTTTTCTAAAAGGATGAAGACATGATTTTGCGGTCTAATTTGTTTCCAAGGTTTAGCTCTTACAAGAATCGTTCTGTTGGGATAAATAACAAGTATTAATTTTCAGAAATCAAAGTTTGAACCCACAACTTTAAAAGAATTGAGAACAACGTAAAATAATATGTATATTATAATGGTGGAAATGAGGTTATTATAATTATTTTGTATGGGACCCCCATTTTTTAAAGACAAGATAAAATAACTAGCATTTACAACCTTACACTTGATCACTTTCTGCAGTGAAGGGATAAGAGATGACGCATAGAGAGAGAGAGCTACACCCCTCTTACCCTGGAGACCCTCTTATTATAACTCTAATTATACTTAACTCTTGCTGAGAACACAAGAATCCCACTGCGTTGAATTATGGGGGTTTCTTCAAATTACAGCTGTACTTTTCCAAAAAAAACAAACAAAGTTGTCAGTCTTCATCAGCCCGCATGCCTCTCTCGTTAGTTCGCTCGGACAGCCGGGAACCGTGCCCTCAGGCTGAAACCAAGCCGGCTCAAAAGCCTCCCTGGCGTCCGCTGCGTGACAGACAGGTGCGGTCTGGGCCCCCCGCGGCGTGGGCTCCAGGAGGGGGGCTGAGTGAAGCGTGCCCAGCGGTGAGTGTCAAAGTCGGACTGCGAAGGGATGTTTGGGCGCTCACTCAGCCAGACTTTGGTAATTGGAGAGTCCATTCTGCTCCTGGGTGGAACCAAGACTGCATGAAAGAAACTTGAAAGGGGCTGAGTAAAAAAAAAAAAAAAAACCGCCTCAAACAAGTAAATGTCATTAAAGAGCCCACAAAAGAGTTTTGTTGGAGATATGTGGTAGTATTTTTGCCAGTGGGAGGGAAAGTGTAAAGTGTTGGTTGTTGTTGTTTTTTTTGTTCCAGGAGCGAGACGCTTAATTTAGTTCAATTCAATGTAAACAATAAAACATGAGATAATAAGGGCGACAGTGGCTCAGTTGGTAGAGCATTGGCCTTCTCCACCGACTCCCACTGATGTCTGCTGTCCTTGTGTCCTTGGGCAAGACACTTAACCCTCTTGGCCTATAAGAAGAGTGGAAGTGATGTTCGCTGCTCGCCTTGATGTGTACGTGTATTTGTAAATGTGTATGTATGCATCAAACTGAAATGTCCCCAATGTGGGACAAATAATGGACCGTCTTCTTCTTCATAATTGCATGAATCGAGTGGGTTTTATCTTAATTTGAGTAAATTCTGACTGTCGAAAAACAAAATTTGCCAATGGCTGAAAGCGTTTTAGTCTTATTTCAAGAACTGTTGGTTGATTTCCTCATTCTAAGGAAGACGTTTCTGTTATCTTTTTAAAGCCAGATAATTGTGCTTGTCCTATTTGTAAATCTTGTTTTGAGGCAGTCCTAATGTGCTCAAATTAAGATTCATTTCGTCACTTTTTCTTTTTTTTTTTTTTTTTTTTTTTTACAATTTATGACTTATTTTTCATCACTTTTTGTAGTTCAGCCCTACATCACGTCCATATTCCATGAAAAATGCACTTAATTCAATTTAATTTCAATTCAATGTATTTGTGTACAGCCCTAAATCAGCAGTTGTCTTGGAGGACTGTATGAAGTTGTTGATGTCTCAATGATAGATCAGCCATTCAAAACAGTTCAAACTCAGGAGATGCAATAAAATGTAGGAACCTTTGTCTATAAGGGGCGGGATGATCAATGTAAAAAAAAAAATCAGAAATATTCTCAAATGTCTTGGATAATCAACTCAAAGGACCTGATAAGGTTAAAGGTGGGCTGCCATACACTACGCTGCTCTGCTGAACAAGCTGGTCAGGAGGGCCAGCTCCACTCTGGGCTGCCCCCTGGACTCTGTGGAGGAGGTGAGGGACAGGAGGGTGCTGGTCAAAGCCACCTCCATCATGAACAATACCTCCCAGCCACTGCACAGGACTGTAGAGGAGCTGAGGAGCTCCTTCAGTGGAAGACTGAGGCAACCTCAGTGCAAGAAGGAGCGCTACCGCAGGGCCTTTATCCCCACTGCTGTCAGACTGTACAACAAGTCGTTTTAAGTCACTGCATTAGGACTGAAAAAACCTGACACTTCTTTTGTGATTGCCACTTTTTTGTACATAATATGTCCTGCATTAACATGTTGCACATTTCTTACTTTTTGCACAATTCTTGAGTGTTCCTATCCTTGCCAATGTGACATGTAAATTTCTCCTGCGTGAGATTAATAAAGTACGTCTTATCTTTCATCTTATCTTACCTAAAATAGTTGGGTTCTTTCTCTAGTTTTCACATACGTTTCGTAAGGTTTAGGTACACAATTTTGTTGTGACAAGTGCGATCGAACAAAAAGTCGACAAAGAAAAGCCACATAAACTCTGCGGTGTTGGATTAAGGACTCAAACTGCATTCCCGTCCTCTTAATGTGCATTTTGAAGTATAGCATAAGTTACAGGAGGTGGAAACATCAGACATGGCATAAACTTTATTTGAAGTTCATACGCTGGCTTGAAGTGTATTTTCATAAATTTGCACTAATGCATAATTGCCATTTTGGAAGGTGGATCCACTTTTACGACTCACATAAACACATGAAGCGAATATAAAATACACAGGTCTTAGTCAGATTCTGAACTGTTCCTGTAGATGGAAGGAGATGAAGTCAAAATAATCCATCAGACCTTTGCTCAAAAATCATTAGAAACCATCTAACCCTAAAATCAGCTCCAGACTAAAATCTACAAACTGTCTTGTAACATCCATCTGCAAAATGTATTTTAGTAGAACAAGTAAAGGGAGATGTGTAAGTGTTGTTCAAGTATCCAAGATTCAATACGTCGGGTAAAAACATGTTTCTTGACTATTTAAACACTCTGTAAAACGCTGCTTTTGACACAAATGTCCAGAAAAAATGATTGATGAGAAATATATCAAACAGATGTGCTCTCCACTGTTTGCTGGATGACATATGTAATTCCATCTCAAACGCACAACCCCATATCCAGGTAACCCAGATACGTGCTACATCTCATACCGTGGACATTATTTTCGTATGCCTAGATTTGTGGGAGTGATGTGTCCCAAAAAGTTGGTTAAAACGTTATGTGGGTCAAAATTGTTCCAACGAAAATGATCATAGGCAGTAGGAATGATACCGCCTACAAACACTCTTGATATGCTGTGGAGCGCCCCATCCAATCTGCAAAACGCTTCCATGGAACCAAGGCCCAGGGCTTTTTATGCCAAGAAGACAACTCGCAACGCATACAGTAGTGCGTTTCCAAATCCTTTCCAAAGATACGTATTCTGGAAGGGTGCGTGACCGCTGCGTTTTACCGTGGGATCATGATTGACAGACGTTATCAACCAATTGCCAGTGCGTCCCTGGAGGTCTGCACTGTTCTTTTTGGGTTTTAAGAGGGTTAAAACCTCAAGAAGATAGCTGCTACGTCCATGGTGCCACAGCCTTGGTGTTTCAGCGGGAGCTTCAGGAAATGTGGGGTTAAGTCTTGCCCAAGGACACAACGACAGCAGACATGAGTGGGAGCAGTTGGGCTCGAACCCACGACCTTTAGGCCCAAAGGCCAATGCTTTTTCAACTGGGCCACTGTCGTTTGGTTTGTTTTTATTCAGATCCCCATTACCTACAGAAATAAACAGTAGCTATTCTTCCTGGGGTCTATATACTCATTGATGTCACAAAAAATAAATGTACAATGGACACAAGTGAATGTTACAAACAAAAAATATGCTTACACACTGAATAAAAATACACAGTACCCATAAACAGACACACACACATACACACACAATTAAATGAATTACAATCTCACTTTAGAAATGTCTACATTACATCTTCACTTTCCCGCCAAAATGTCTCTGGTGACTTGTTGTCCCTTTCAACTGTTTTGATAGTTTGGTCTTGGACTTTAACAAGAGACAAGTGGACCCAGTTTAGTTTTCAGTTCACTCACACTGAACAGTAGCGTGGAGGATGCTCTATGTTTAATCTTGAATTCTGTATAAGAACATCTGCACAAAGGCAAATCCCACGACAGAAGTATTTTTTGAACTATATAGCCAGCCTTAAATTGCCTTATTCCGTTGAGGCTCATACCCACACTGAGAAGTCTTCTTTAACTTGCAGACCTCAAATAGTTTGGATAAATGGCTGTGTCCCAGATGAACTGATGGGAACCTGGCACCCCCACAAGGCTGCCTCCTGAATGGGTAAATGTGCTTATACTGATCTGAGTATTCTGGTCATGAAGGATGCAGACAATACTACAATCAAATGTCTTATTTATGCAAACCACAACCTGTATCATAGATCGGAGGTGGGAAAGGTGTTGGAGCGAAGAGAACAATTTGAAACTCAACATCTCCGAAACCTGTGAAATGATCGTCGATAATGAAAAAAAAAAAAGCTTTTATTTGTCAAGGGCAATGAGGTGAAAGCAGAAGACAACGATACTAGTCTTTGTGAAAATGTATCTCTTTGGATTTACGCTGGCATTGCCAAAGTGTTTGTTCTTTTTTTGAAAAATCTAAACGCTTTTTACAACACTTAAAAGTATATTTCTGAACTGTGATTTTCTGTAAATGTAGTAGCGGTTTTGGTAACGCCGCAGTGAAGAAGAGGATGCAGTGACGTCTTTAAACAATGCACTTTTGAAACCACAAGAGATAGATTTTTCATTCTGAATGTGGTCAATTGTTTTTTTTTTATCCATGAATTTGAATGCTAGTTTTGTTTTTTGTTTTTTTACGACAGATGACCAAAAACCAGTGCGTCAATATAAAAATTGGTTTTCAAGAATTAAGAGCAAACTCATTCAGAATCATTCTCATTGGGAAGGCAAGGCAAGTTTATTTCTATATTGTTAAATTAAAGGCTACCTGAGGTGCTTAAGTATGTATTATTATCATGCAGGACAAAAGTAATCACAGACATTAACAAAAGTGAAAATACAATCCTTCAGTTGTATGCACAGCTAGTCAGAATTGTTTTCAATCTGGATTTGAACATTGTCAGAGTTCTGTTTAAGATTTCTACTAGATGGCGCCTCGTACGGTCGACATGGCTCTTTGCTGCTCTCTTTTTCTTTTGTTTTTACTTTTTAACTGTGCATCTGGCTGTTCCTACACCCGTGAGGAACTTATGAACATCCGACCCACCGTTCCCATGGACCTATTGCCTGTTTTCTTGGCATCTGCGGCTGATTTAGTTCATGTTCTAGCCAAAAAAGTGTGGGCCCGTAAAAGGGGAAAGCGAGGAGGCCTGCTCGTGCGTCTTAGGAGGAGAGGAGCGCGCACGGCTCTCCCCGGCATTTTTCTCTCCAACGTACGCTCACTGGGCAATAAGATGGACGAACTCAGCCTGCTCATGAGAAGAAACAAGGACTTCGCCACATCCTGTGTCCTCTGCTTCACTGAGACCTGGCTAAATGAGCGGATCCCGGACTGCGCTCTGGAGCTGCAGGGCTTTGGGCTGTTTCGCGCGGATCGCCATTGTGCGCTCTCAGGGAAGAGCAGAGGCGGAGGGCTCTGTTTCTACGTCAATACAAACTGGTGTAACGATGTGACAGTGATCTCCAAGCACTGCTCTCCTGCTCTGGAATATCTTTTCATTCATTGTAAACCATATTACTCCCCGCGGGAAATTGTTTCATTCATTCTTGCCTCTGTTTACATACCGCCATGCGCGGACGCGCGCGAGGCTCAGCGCGCACTCGCAGAGCAAGTA